TGTACCTGATTGTGCCTCTTGGACCTCCAGTCTAAATTCCAAAGTGCCTGGTGTGATGGTTAAGGAATCAGTTGCATCAAATTCATGTTCTAGGCAGCTGGGCAGTACCTGTTTGTGCCTATGGGACACAGGTGGGCCCACTGCTAAAACTTCCTGCCCTGCGTTTGGAACAGGTACGTTGGGGTTCCCACCTACTTCCCCAAGTGCTCCCTGCCCTTCCAAGAGCATCCTTGGCTCTACAGTCACCCTCCTCCACCTGGATACCATTGCTACTGGCTCCTCCTGCTGACCCCATTGCCAAGGTTGCCTTTCCCCTATAGACATTCAAGCATCAGCGTGCATGGGGCAAATGCTACCACACTAGGGGCTTCAGGGGCAGGCAAATATTTACCTCCAATTAAGAGGCCACATCAATGCAAATAAGTGTGCAGGAGGAGCAGCCACTGTTGGTGAAAGGAGAGGCAACGACTGGCTCCACGCCTTATCGAGAAAATATAAGTAGATCCGCATCTACCCAAGGACCCCTAATGAGAGGCTACAGCCCCTCACCTGGGAATCCTGCTTCTTTTGGGAAAGCCATTTGGCAGGGTGGTTGAGAGTTTATTTGGGGACTGAATCCTAAAGGAAGAGAAAGGGCCATGGTTGTGCCAGGCCACTCAAAACAGCACGAGGCTGCAACTGTCCCTGAGATGTGGACCTGAGTGAGCCCATAGAACTTTCAGAATGCCACCCTTCGAGGGCAGCAAGAGAAGGAACAGTTTCTGTGGTGGTGAGGCTCCAGTACATTTCCATAAAGATAGGTACAGGAAAGACCCAGAATAGGACCAGGATGGGTGGTCTGTTGAGGGAGTGTCAGATTCAGCCCTTAAACAGTAGTGAAAATTGATAGAAGACAGATTGTGTCAGCCAGTTCAGGTCCCTGGGTCTGTTCTGCCTCCCGGTGTCTCTTTCCTGCTGGAATCTTCAGGTTCATCCCTTCTCTAGGGTTTTGGCGTAGTCTCGTTACCTCCCTTCCCATCCTTCCAACTCTTTCCTGCTTCCCAACTTGGAGGCCCAGGGGACACATCTTGTTTGTCCCATCCTTTTCTGACCTCCATATGGGCTTTGTTTGCTGGCATGCTGCCCTTGCCACAAGCGTCCCCATCCCTCCCCCAGTGACTCCTTGCCCTGAGGGTCCTCCTGGCCTTTCTGAGACTGAGCTGGAGCACCAAGGTGAGGAACCTGCTCAAATTTTGCTCCTGTGGGACCCAGTGCTGGTTTGGGTGCCAGGCATTCTCTAGGACAGACTGATGAGCTCTTAAAAGCTCTGTGGGGCTGTCAGATTTCTGAAGTCTTGTGTCTACATTCTCCTCCCTGGTAGGCCAGGTGGGAACTAGGACATAGGGAGCCCTCACTCCATTGCACTAGATCCTTTTCCTGGTCCCTGGGGGCCTGATTGACTGCCCCTGGAATGCCTAGGTGGTACTCCCCACACAGGACTCAGAGCTCCTGCCACCATAGCCCAAGAGGGGGAAGAGCAGGACAGGGTGTAGTAGCCACCCTTTGCTTTGCACCCTTTGTCCTCAGCACAGTTGGTATTACCAGCTGCCTTCAAGCTCTCAAGGGCTCACCCTCCTCCAGGGATTCCTCAGGTGAGTAGCCTTCATGCAAGATGTGGGGGGCAGTGCAGAAAGGGGTCCACAGAAGGACATAGAAAACAAAGGATTTTCTGCAAGGCTTCCTGGAAGCTGAAGGCCCCTCTGTATACTCCTAAGTTGTGGGACACATGAGCACATGGGCAGGGCCTTCCGACCTTCACGCCATGCCCCCAGCTCCCACGCAGCTTCCAGGAGGCTCTCTGGATGGCTGTTGGTTCAGCAGAGAGTTCTGAGGCGCCAACTCATTGCCAGACCCTGGAGTTGCCCAGGTATTGTGCCTCCTCCCTCCTGCCTGGTAGCAGGACGATGTCTGCTCAAGGACAAGGACACTCTGTGCCGCCAGGCTTGCTGGGCCTGGGCAGCATTCCGCTCTGTGAGGACTGCTGGTTCAGGAGTATGTGGGTACCCAGGGCTCTAAATATACCAGGGTGAGATCACTGGGGTGGAGACGAGGCCATGTGGCAAGCCCAGGAGCCCCATGGGTACAGGAATCCCAGGGTCAGGGAGCAGTTGGCCCTTTGCAACTGACCTCCTCACTGCCCAGTCTTCTCTTGCATTGAATCTCTGCCCATCGCATGTTAGGGATAATACAGAATCAGCTGTGTCTCCTGTTGGGTCACCCCACCCCTTGACAAAGCTTGAAGCGGATGTTTTAGAGCAGTCTGAATGTGTTCACAGACAAGAACATCAAAAGCAAGGAGTGAATTGGCTCATTGGCAGAGGGACAGCTTTGTAAGAGCACTGTTGGCAGCATGGAAGCCACTGTCCTTGCTCTGTGGTCACTGTGCAACTTTACATCAGAGGAGACATGGATCCTCTGCCTTCAGCGGGAAATGGGCAAAATATTAGGAAAGCCAGGAAAACATGAGGCCAGCAAGATGTCCATATGCTAGACTCTGGAACCTGGGCCTGTGCAACCTCACAGGCAGACATGGCTAAGGTTATAGACTGGAGGAAGGGAGTTGATCCTGGATCATCCCCGCAGATCAGGGATCTGTGATGTGAGGAGGCCTCAGCCCTTGCTGGCTTTGAAGATGGAGGGAGGGCCATGAGCTGAAGGATATAGTACTCTCCAGAAGCTGGGAATAGCCATTGGATAATAGCAACAAAACAGGGACCAGAGTTCCACAGCCATAATAATGGACATCTGCCGACACTCAGGAGCAGGAAACGAATTCTCCCCCAAGAGCCTGCAGAAAGGAGTACAGCTGCAAGCACCAGGATCCTAGTCCAGGGAGACCTGGACTGAACTTCTGGCCTCCAGAAGCCTGAGATGATAAATGTGTGCTATCCAAGCAGCTAAACTGGTGATAGAAACTAACACCACAGTCTTGCAGGATGTAGGAAATCCTCTTCTCCACCCTGTTCTGGCACCCAGTGGGACTGTAATTGGTGCAGCCTCCCTAGGGGCTGAATGAACGTCCTTCTCAAACCTGGGGCCTGCTGCTCCTTTGCCTACTGGTGCGTTAGCCTGGAATTGAGTCTACCACAGATGCTGATTGCAGCCTTGTTTGTGATGGCAAGAGGATGAGGCCTGTGGTCCCCACTCGCGCCCCAGCATTAAAGTGCGACCTTCCCCCTGCTGGAAGGCACAGATGAACCAAGTAAGAGATCTGTTTGATGCTGGATGTTTCTGATGTTAAGTGAGAAAAAAGCAAGGTATAGAGCCATTGCTGGCTTGCTTTGGTTTTTAATTGTGTGATAAGTGTATATATGTGCCTACTAAATGGTATATTTGGGGAGGAAATACAAGGGACACTCCAGTGGCTGGGTGGGATGTAGTTTTCTTTGCCTTTTTTTCATGTAGCTTTTACTTGTATTGTGTGACTGCATTATGCGCAGTGTCACGGCATGCTTGAGGGGTTGGTGTAATATGCCCGTTGTGTGAATCTCATGAAAGATGGGGGCTTTATAGGGTTGTTTCCAGACAGCCTGTTAGAAACCTTGTAGCTGCTGGTAGGGGGTGGCTGGCCTGCATCCAGATCCTTCACCAGGTAGGTTTTGGCAATATGTGTCCAAACTGTCTTAAAACCAGAAGTTCTTCATTTCGATGAAGTCCAGCTTGTCTGTATTTTTTCTTGGACAGTTAGTGTTTGGGGCTCCTACAAAGAAACATTTGCCTATCCCCAGTTTGCAAAGATATTCTCCTATGTGTCTTCTAGAAACTTGTAGCTTGTTTTAGTAGTGTATTCCTTCAACTCTTGGTGGACACCTGCTTGTTACATTTGGCTATATGACCTGCTGTGTTGGGTCAGTTCCCGGCTTCTGTAAGCAGGGATTTCCCTAACATGTGAGATCGCTGTTAACAACCAGGAACACTGGAGACAGTGGGGTTTCTGTGTCATCTCTGTCTGTGCAAAGTAAAAATAATAGTACTGGCTCCATGGGCTTATTGTAAATATTAAGTTATATACAGAAAGTGCTCAGAACAGAACTGTCTCATAGCAAGATCATAAAAGGGATGGAGTGCATTTTCCACACTGCCAGGTAAAGTCCAACACTTTCTAAAGTGTGCGGTACCCAGGACTACCTGGCATTACCATAACTGCTGGTCTGCATGTATCCCTTTATGAATTCAGTTTGCATTCTCCTGATAAAGTTGATCACTGGAGCTGACATCGGCTATTTTGTATGCAAAGGTGCCAGTTCATGCCTTCTGGCTGGGGCTTTGTGGCCCGTCTCCTCCCAGTTTGCTGGCCCTAGGCTACCCAGCCTTCTAGAAGAGAAGACAGGGGCCTGACACATGACTCTTGTTTATAGGAAACACGACTTTTACATATACATATATATGTGTATGTGTGTTATATATATATATATTTCTCCCCAGTGGTAGTTGGACACAATACCTTTATTTTATTTATCTATTTTTATGTGGTGCTGAGGATCGAACCCAGAACCTCGCATGTGCTTGGCGAGCGCTCTACCGCTGAGCTACAACCCCAGCCCCTGTGATGTTTTACTTTTTATGGTGTGTTCAGATGAACTCTAAAGGCCTTGTTAATGTCATTAAATTGATTGGTTTTGGGGGGTGCTGATCTTTTGATTTGAAACTTTGTGCATTTTGTTGAGTTCTTCAGCCCCAACACCCCTGAGGAGGCAGAGTTCACCTCATATATCAGGAGCAGGCCTCATTTCATAGCATCCCGAGTGTCAGCTGGGTGAGGGGAGGCAGGTGTGAACATGTGTACACCAGAGGTATGCCACGCCCTGGAAGAGTGGACAGTTGGGTGGAGGTGAACACTGGGTGCCATGTTAGTCCTGGGAGCAGGTAGGAGGCTTCAGAAATGGGAGTGGGCTGGCCCTAGGCTACCCAGCCTTCTAGAAGAGAAGACAGGGGCCTGACACATGACTCTTGTTCTATAGATCCGGAACATGGTGGCGGTGTTGGAAGTCATCTCCAGCCTGGAGAGATACCCCATTACCAAAGAGGCACTGGAGGTGAGTACCTCAGCCCAAGCCTAGGGGGCAGAATGGGGAAGCAAGGGCAACCTCAGCTGTCTTTCCTCAATAATTACATGCCTTCAGAGGACAGAGGGGGGTCATGTGCCCATGTGCTGTCTTCCCACGCAGCACTGCACGAATGAGGTGTTTCTAATCCTTGACCCTACTCCTTCCACACCCTGCACACCTTGGCCTGTGTGTGGGGAGGCTCCAGTGAGTGGCACTGTCCCTGGCCCTCCACTTGAAGATCAGGTTTGCTGTGCCATTGCCTTGGCTGTGGAATGTTCTCACCTGGCAGATGTCCTTGCAGTGGCCTTGATAATACCGAGTTTCCAGGCACCAGGAGGCTGTGTGACATTGCTTCTGAGAAATCTGCCTACGGCCCTGGGACACTAAGGTCTGAGGACTGTCTTTGAGAATTTATATCATCACAAAGGACCAGAAATCCCTATTTGCATCTGAGAAGCTGACAGTTTGGGGGTCAATGGAGAAGGAGTCATTTCAAAGCTGGGGGCACTTCTCTGGATCAGCTCCCTTTTCATGGGGAAGTCCCTCTCCTAAAAGTATGTCACTCTCTCTGTTTATAGGAAACACGACTTGGGAAGCTCATCAACGACGTCCGTAAAAAAACCAAGAACGAGGAGCTCGCCAAGCGGGCAAAGAAGCTGCTGCGCAGCTGGCAGAAGCTCATTGAGCCAGTGCACCAAAATGAGGCAGCGCTGCGGGGGCTGGCCGGGGCCGCTGGCTCAGCCAATGGGGGTGCCCACAACTGCCGGCCAGAGGCGGGGACGGCTGGCACACCCAAGAGCATCCATGACCTGAAGAACCGCAACGACATCCAGAGGCTGCCTGGGCAACGGCTGGACAGGCTGGGCAGCCGCAAGCGCCGGGGGGACCAGCGTGACCTTGGACACCCTGGGCCACCTCCCAAGGTTTCCAAAGCTACTCATGACCCCCTAGTCCCCAACTCATCCCCACTCCCCACCAATGGGATCAGTGGGAGCCCAGAGAGCTTCCCCAGCCCCCTGGATGGCAGTGGGCACTCGGGCTCTGAAGGCAGCCGCCTGGAGCCCAGCGAGAACGACAAGCACAGCAGCAAGATCCCTGTCAATGCCGTGCGGCCGCATACCAGCTCCCCAAGCCTGGGCAAGTCCCCTGGACCCTGCTTGCAGACAAAGGCTTCAGTGCTGCAGCAGCTGGACAGGGTGGACGAGACTCCAGGCCCTCCCCACCCCAGGGCTCCCCCGCGCTGCTCTTTCAGCCCCCGGAACTCACGGCATGAGGGCTCCTTTGCCCGGCAGCGGAGCCCATATGCACCCAAGGGCTCTGTGCCCAGCCCCTCACCACGGCCCCAGTCGCTCGATGCTACACAGGTGCCATCACCGCTTCCACTGGCCCAGCCATCCACACCGCCTGTGCGGAGGCTAGAGCTGCTCCCCAGCACGGACAGCCCTGTGCGCTGGCTGGAGCAGTCTGAGGGCCACCAGCGGCTGGTGGGGCCAGGCTGCAAGGCAGGGCTGCTTCCAGCTGAATCCCTCCTGTCACGGGCGGGTTTCTCCCCAGACTCCTCTAAGGCAGACAGCGATGCTGCTTCCTCCGGTGGCTCGGACAATAAAAAGAAAAAGAGGTACCGACCTCGAGACTACACGGTTAACTTGGACGGGCAAATGGCTGAGGCGGGCGTCAAGCCCGTCCGGTTAAAAGAGCGGAAGCTCACCTTTGACCCCATGACAAGACAGATCAAACCTCTGACCCAGAAAGAGCCAGTGCGGGCAGACAGCCCTGTGCACACAGAGCAGCCACCTAGGACAGAACTGGATAAGCAGGAGGCCAAGGCTAGCCTCCAAAGCCCCTTTGAGCAGACGAACTGGAAGGAGCTGTCGCGCAACGAGATCATACAGTCCTACCTGAGCAGGCAGAGCAGCCTGCTCTCGTCATCAGGCGCACAGACCCCAGGGGCTCACCACTTTATGTCTGAATACCTGAAGCAGGAGGAGAGCACCAGGCGAGGGGCCAGGCAGCCACATGTGCTGGTGCCTCATGGGCCGCCCACGGACCTTCCCGGGCTGAGCCGAGAGGTAACACAGGACGATCTTGACAGAATCCAGGCCCACCAGTGGCCAGGGGTGAACGGGTGTCAGGACACACAGGGTAACTGGTATGACTGGACGCAGTGCATATCACTCGACCCGCACGGTGACGACGGGCGGTTGAACGTTCTGCCTTATGTCTGCTTGGACTGACAGGCCCGTTGGCCACAAAGTGCATTCCCACCTTGCAGTAGCCAGGGCAGGCGGGTGGCTGGGCCCAGCTGCCTCCAGCAGTTGGCAACCCGGGAAGTCCAGTCCAGGTGGGAGGGAGGGGGCGGGAGTCACGCGGTCTCTGCGCTCTTCCCTCCAAACTCCTCCTTTTGTGAAATGCTGCTACCAGTTTACTAACAAAATTGAAAAGGAAGGACCGCGCAGAAGGAAGGACGGCAAAGTGAGTTCAGAACTCTATAGCAAACCAGCTATAAAAAGCGTTAGTCCCCTATCCCGGAAGAGGTGCAGACACTCTCCAGCACCTGAACACTGGGACCTCAGTTGCAGGCAGGCACAGGAGAGGTTACGTTTAACACAGCGACAGATGTATGCATCTCATCTCTGTATTTTCTGTTCTTTGATTTAGCCCAGTGTCTGTGAGACAGCGGGTTGCACCTCAGCCTGTGTTCGCACCCCACCCAGCCACTGGCCAGCCAGTGTTTTCCATCATGCGCTGGAAGCTTCTTGGCTGTGGCGAGCCACTGGCAACATGCAGGCCGGCCAAAGGGCCAGCTAGCTTAACCCACACTCCACGGGCATCCACCCATTTGTATCTGGTTTCAGTTAAAACCCAGTTCTTAAAGAAATGCTGCAGAAATTTAAGTTTTCTTGAGTTTATTTTCATCCTTTATTCCTTCTGACCACTAGCCAAATAAATTTCCTTTCCTTCTCCCTTTTCTTTTTCCTTCCTATGCATATCTAGAAAATTTCACCTTTCTGGAGCGCCCCCCCCCCCCCCAAAAAAAAAAAATCCCAACCAACCAATTTAGAGTAACCGCGGGTGCTACTGGTGTGTAAGCTGTACTGCTGGGCAAGAGGGGAGACCTGTCTGTACGCTGGAAACACTCATAACCATTCCTTTAGATTCGTTTGCCTTATGGTTATTTGTCATAAACGCGATTTGCAAAAACAAGGAGCCTTAGTGAATGTACAGTACCTAGACTTCTGTGTTCTCAGGACACAGAAGGGAGCAACTTTGCTATTTGGTCCAGTAAGTGGACACCTTGTGATATAAATGTGGAAATAAAAAAAAAAAAAAACAAAAACATTTGCACAACCAGTCTGGAAATCGTTTCTCATTTGAATCTTCACCACTAATCAGCCCTGTCCTGGATTATGGCTTAGCCAGGGAGTCCCACATCTAGACTTGCAGGCTCATAAGGCAAGTAGGTTACAGTTTTCAAGTTGCCTGTTAGCTTTCTGCTGCATTTAGTGGACTTTTACTTGTCTTTCTTTCAGAGCTACCTGCTAGCTTGGGGCAACAGTCCACAAAACAATATCAGGGAATGTTACCCTATCTCATCCAGACTTCACCCACCCCACAGAGAAGCCCTCTACAGCAGGCTCCATAGCTCAAGTTTATCATTTTATCCCACAAATATTTTTAATTCTTAACATGCCATGGCCCAGAGGTGCAGAGCTGTGTGTCAGGCATCCCAGCCCTGGGCTGCCAGCTCCTCATGCATGCCTGAGGCTGCCTTAGTACCTGGTTGGTGATGGTTTTTTTTTTTTTTAAATTGTAGGTGAACACAATACATTTACTTTTATATGGTGCCAAGGATCAAACCCAGTGTCTCACACATGCTAGGCAAATGCTTTACCACTGAGTCACAACCCCAGCCCCCTAGCCCTTTTTTAAATTTTCAGACAGGATCTTGCTAAATTGCCAAGTCAGGCCTTGAATTTGCCATCCTCCTGCCTCAGCCTCCTGGGTCACTGGGGCTACAGGTATGCACCACAGTGCCTGGCTGGTGCTGATATTTTTAAAAATAACTTTTGATTATAAAATGATAGTTCATCCCATTTGTCCCTGAAACTGTCAACTAAGAATTTGGCTTGGTGGGGGAGATCTAGAAAATCTACCAATTTATAAATGAGCAAACAGCTACCCCTTCAGAGAGGTAGGTGCACAAGAGTACATTAAGGGGTCCTGGCACATTCCTTCCAGCCCACAGGACCACAGACAACCCAGAACTAGAGTTTCAGAACAACAGGGATTTCTGACAAAGGCTTGGTGAAGAACACACCCTATACTCCCACCCCAAGAAAAGGGCAGTGGGAGAGATGACTTTGAGGGCAGTGTGAGATTGCTCCCATCTAACAGCTGCATGGCTCTGAGCCAGTCTTTCCACTCCTATGCCCTTGTTCCTATTGGAGGATGAAGAGTTGTGAGGACTAAATTGTAAAAACTTAAAACGATAAAAGCTTAAGAAACCAGAAATATGGCAGTGGAATTGTGACACAGCTATGCTGTGGAGTAACTAGCTACTTTCTTGCCTCCATTACAGCTAATTAAGCTCGGCTTACATTCTGGTATCCCTAGAATGTGATGTTATTCTGTGACCAAAGGTCATAGGCACAGCTGGAGGATATTAGGGTACAGAGGGTGACGACCCATCAGCACCTCCTTTTCTCAGACCTGGGCTTTGGCACAGGCCACTACTCCCACCCCACTTGCAGAGACTACCACACCTAGGTCTTAAGTATGCAGAAAGCCCAGGGTACACATATTGTCTACTTTCCAGAACACAACGATAATTTAAGACAAACACCCACCAGCATTTGGAGTTAAGTTGGGTTGCCACTTTATAACTTGCCAAGTAAGAACATATAAAAGAGAACCAACACCTCGTCGACAAGAAGTTGGTAGCACATGATTTTTGGAATAAACCAGTCCTTTAGTATAAGATCATATTGCTGAAAACAGTCTTCTCTTCCTCCACTGGCGCTTGAGGGAATGGTCTATCCGGGCGGTCCTTGGGCATCTTTTGTCGTGCCAAGTACTGCCCACTTCTGCAGCGTTCTGGAGACAGGTGTCCAAGCTGTTATGGCCACGGCCCCCAAATTAGCCGTGTCACCTGAGACAAGTCGCTTCCCCTCTGGGCTTCGGTCTGCCAGTCTGCGAAATGGAGATAGTTAACACCTACCGCACAGCGTTCCTCGGATTCGGAGGGATGATGCTCGGGCCAGGCTCGTCAGCCGCACACGTCGGTGGCTCCCACAACTCGCTGAGAACAAGGTCAAGGCTGGCCCTTTCGTCGGAGTCCGACTACGCGCGTCCGCCCTGGCACTGCAGTGTTAATCTGGCTCAAGGAAATCTTTTCACAGTCTAGTTTTTTCCCCGGAAGGTTTTTTAACTTCTCGGTGTCCGTAACCGTTTAGCTCTTGCTTGGAGGTCGCCGATGTGCCGCTAAGCCCGAGGTTTAAACCTCCAGCTTGATCGCCCATCCAGACTCCAACACGGCAGCACTCTCGCGCTTCCACTCGCCCATTCCGTTCGGGGCTCCGCAAGGGTCCCCAAGAGAAGCTCAAGAGGGAAAAACGAGCTCCACTCCCGGTACGAGTACCCTCGTTTCACTTCCGGGCTTGGAACCGCCCCTTCCGGGGACGTATCTCCAAGAGGGCGGGGCCTGCACTCCAGACGTGGTGGCTGGCGCATCGGTCGGCGCGCGGCGGTGACGTACAAGAACAACTACCAATGAAGAGCGGCGCTAGCTGACGCGCCCGCCCCGCCGGCCCCGCCCCCGCCCGGCGTCGGGCCGTCGGGCGGGCGGGAAGGGGCGGCCGCTCGGGCAGGATGGCGGCTGCGGCAGCAGCGGTGGGCGCGGGAGCGGGCGCTGGGGGCCAGGGTGCGGCGGGCAGTGGCGGAGGGGCGCGCGAGGGCGCGCGGGTGGCAGCGCTGTGCCTGCTGTGGTACGCCTTGAGCGCGGGCGGCAACGTGGTCAACAAGGTGATTCTTAGCGCCTTCCCGTTCCCGGTGACCGTGTCGCTGTGCCACATCCTGGCGCTGTGCGCGGGACTCCCGCCGCTCCTGCGCGCCTGGCGTGTGCCCCCCGCGCCGCCTGTCTCGGTCCCCGGGCCCGGCCCGCATCCATCGGCTGGGCCGCTGCTGCCGCCACGCTTCTACCCTCGCTACGTGCTGCCACTCGCCTTTGGCAAGTATTTCGCGTCCGTGTCAGCGCACGTCAGCATCTGGAAAGTGCCGGTGTCCTACGCGCACACTGGTAGGTGTCACGTCCGGCCAGGGGGGCGGTGGCTGGGGCGCGCCGCCTGGGGCCTCGGTGCAGGGTTAGGATGCATCTCCCTGGGCGCTTCCCGGTAGACAAAAACCCAGAACTAAGTCTGAGAAGCCGCCAGAACTTTGGGCTGAGAAGGGCCAGGCACCAGACTCTCGGGGAGGAAAGGGGTTAGAAAGGAACTGGAAGCTGAGTAAGGCGAGCCCAACTGTTGGGGTTGGGAAGAAACCCTACAAAAAGCGAAGGACTGAAGAAGTCTGAGGGGCTGCCAAAACCTCCATCTCACGAGAGGTAGAACAGACTCCTGGTGAATTCGGGGAAGTCAGGCAGCCCACTGAATGCCCTTCCCTCTTTTTGCAGTCAAGGCCACCATGCCCATCTGGGTGGTCCTCCTGTCCCGGATCATCATGAAGGAGAAGCAGAGCACCAAGGTAATGCCCTGGCAGGAGCCTGGGCAGATGGGGGATTCCCAGCAGTTCTCCAACTGGTAACTGGTGGTTCAGGCTTCTGGCCTGCAGACCGCCTGGCTTCCTGTCAAATAAGGAAGTCAGTGTAGAGTTCTCCAGTGGCCCTTTTACTGCTAATGTCCTAGAATCACCCTGCAAACAGTGGTGTGTGGGATGTGTATCCCTGAGTGATCTCTGTGGTTTAGTTTCAGGAAAACCTCCATCCCTCTCAGGTCTAACTCACTTTCTTTCTTTCTTTCTTCCTCCATCCCTCTCAGGTCTAACTCTCTTTCTTTCTTTCTATAGTTGATTTTTTTAAGATGTTGATGGACACAATACCTTTATTTTATTCATTTCTTGTTATGTGGTGCTGAGGATCAAACCCAGTGTTTCATATGCGCTAAGCAAACACCCTACCACTGAGCTACAAGCCCCAGCCCTTTCATTGAGTTTTGATTCCCTACCTGCATTGCTGGTAGGTCATGGATGGCTTGGTCCCATCTTGGCAAGGTACCTTGGCAAGGGAATGGATCGGAACTCTCAAGATTTTTACTTCTCTCCAAGAAAAAATGCTTAGATAGGGGACTTTGGGGATCATACGATGCTAGACAAAGGAGTTTGGTGTTGGCAAAATCCAGCAAAGTCTTAGAAATTAAACCAGTCGGGAATTGTGATGGGAGGGAAAATAGCAAGTGGGACTCAAGGCTGCACAAAGAAGATGCTCCTGGCACAGTCCAGAGCCTGTTGAAGATGCCAAGCCAGGGTATTTCCTGGCTCAGTGCAAGAGAACCTGTGAGTTTAGCCAGAACCAGCCTTGCCTTGTGTCTGGAAGTGGAAACGAGACTCCTGTTGTCCCAGCTGGAACCCATTTCATGCTAGACATAATGCCTCTTCCAAGTGGTCGGTTTCTGGCATCCTGTACTTTATGTAACTCAGAGCAGCAGTGCCCTGGATCAGCTTTTAAAAATTGGGCCACCTCTGGCCAGGATTTTTATTCTAGCCTGTCTTTATCCTAACAAGTCCTGTGTGTGCTCTGTAGCACTTCCCTATGGTGACGTCAGGTGTGATTGGCCTCCTGGGGGTCAGAATTGCCTGGGAGGTGTACAGCTACGTCACCTGATAGCATGTGTGTTTATCAGGTTTCTCGTTGGACAGGACATTATACCCAGCTTGGCAAGTTGCCAGAAACTTCACACAGTTTGGAAAAGACTAGGGATTAGCCCTGATAGGTAGACAGACTAATGATAACGATGTGATAATTTCTGGACCCACCCCACAAAGCAGATAAG